CTGTTGTAACTGAATGGAGTTTTGGACCATCAATGATTCACATTCTCTCCAAAAATCTAGGAATTGGGGTAAGTTTCAATGTGGCAGATCCTAAGCAGGCTTACTTTTTGTAACTGTAATATAGTGATTTGCCTTAGGGTCACCATAAGTCAGAAATGAATCGAAGACACACAACAACAACAACAACAATATGGCAATTTCCTTCACATGATTTGTTAGTCCATTTGGAATTGCTCCCAGGCACTTATCTATACTGGAACTGCAGTTATTTTCCATCATCATCATTATCACCACCACCACCATCACTATCATCTTTGTTTCACAGTCTACCAGGTGTTTACTGACTCGAGTTTTGGACCATCAATGATAAGGATGTATCCAAGAATCTAGGAATCAGTCAAGTATCCATGGGATAATGTTGTAGTTTGCAAGTTGTATCCATTTTTGTAATTGTGTTCATGTCATCAATTCCAAATGGATTGACAAAACATCTGAATTAAATTAGCATAGATCACAGAATTATAGAATCATAGAGTTGGAAGAGACCATAAGGGGCCATCCTGTATCATCATCCAAATGATGATGATTGGAACTGGGGTCCAGATGTCATCGTCATTATCATCGTCATCATCATCATCATCATCATCATCTCAAAACCCTCCCTTGTTTCCCCACTGTTTTCTTTCTCCTTCACACATAGCAAAAAAGATCTGCTAAAGAGTGAAAGACAGAAGAGCTGCATCATGCCTAGTGAACTGCAGCATTAACTGCCCAGAATTTAATGCCAAGTAAAGATGGCCCTAAAAGTACCAGGTTCAATACTGGAAGCTAAGCAGGGTTAGCTCTACTTGGATGGAGACCGCCAAAGAATACCAGATGCTCTAAGGCTCTATTTTAGAGCAAGGAAATGGCAAAACCACCTCTGAAGATGCCTTGTCTAAGAAAATCCTATGAAATTCATGGGGGCATTGCAAGTCAACAGGTGACTTGAAGGCACATACATACACAGAAAGACGGCAAAACATAGCTACTGGCAAAAGAAGAACCACGAGCCAGAAAATGTAAAGCTTGAGAAAGTTTCATATAATATATATATATTTGGCGTACAGCTTCCAGAATCCTCCTGTCATGCTGGCTGAAGCCAAGCCTACTGAAGCTTTGGTATCTCACTCACCCTCAGCTTCAGTCCATCTCATCTCCAACATACTAACATTAGCCTACCTTACCAGCTTCACTGACTAGAAAAACAATGTACACCCACTCTCTAAACCTTTATGTAGTGTGCCTGTTACAATAATTATTTTTAGATAACCCCTCAGGCCAACGGTTCCCAAACTTTCATCCTCCATGAGTTTTGGACATCAGTTCCCAGAAACCCCAGCTAGCATGATGGATGTTCAGGGATTTTGCAAGCTGAAATCCAAAAGACCTGGGGAACCAAAGTTTGGGAACCACCTCCACAGGTGCGCATGACCATATCCATTATCTCTTTCAGCTTCCTCACATGGGTTGACAGAAATGACTTGACCCTCTTGCTCCAACCAGCCCTAAACTTGACTCATCTGATGATAATTCCTCCTATCAGGCCCCAAAGTCCTTCCATCCCAATTTTTTTGAGGACTCTGAGGACTCCAAGAGGATGAGAAGCACATGGTCTATTTCTAAGCTTCTATGAAACCATCGAGTGCCCACCAGAGGAATTCTCCTTCTCATGCTTGATGTTTGAAACAATGACCAGCAAAGAGCATATGGATACTTTGAGAAATTCAACAAGACAGGTAGTGAAAATAAATCCTTACCTTTAGGGAGTCAAAGCAGGCGATAACTCGTCCATTTTCCACGTGGCAACTCCGGGAAGGGTGGGCAAACTTGCACTCTGTGTCAGATCGAGAACAAGTACCTCTCTGAAATTCTCGACATACTTCTAATGTCAGCCATTTTGTATCACGAACCAAAGAAACGTTCACAGCCATATTAAAAACAATACCCCCTCCTCCAAAAAGGAAGGAACAAAAAAACGAGAAGAGAAAGAAGAAAAATCAGATGACACAGCACCTTTCTTCAGAAGAATTGTACTGTTGCTTTTTAAAAGAAAAAAAAGGGGGGTTAAAGGTTTAAAAAAGGGGAATTCAAGTTTAAAAAAATGTGAAGAAATCACTAACTTGTTGCTTTGGTAAAATTTCTATTTGTCAGCACTTAGGTTTCCATTGAATTCAAATTGGGTTTGTTGAAAACAAGGTTTAAACATAAAGCCAATCATAAAATAGAAATCTCATCAGAATTAAAGAAAAAATCAAATTAGAGGCCAGCTCCTAAAAGTGCAATTGTCAAAGTTAAAATAGAAATGTTATATATATTTTGTGCCCCTGCCAAAATTATTATTTCAAAATAACTGGCAGACTTTTTCTTTTTTTAATTTTCTCTCTTCCCCGAAGGATTCTGTGCTCTCCAGTTATTGGTTTCAATTAATCTCCCACAAAAAAGAAAAAAAGGGGGGAAATGAAATGGGAAAAATAAAAACAGCCACAACAGAAAAACCTAGATGTTGTTGTCAAGGATGCCAGTTGAATGGAATGGTTTCGTTTCTTGGAGCAGAAAGAAATCTTAGAACATGTTTTCTCCTCTTCCTTCTTCTTTTTATTTTTTAAAAAAATAATTAAAAAAACAGATGAAGTTGGAAGTATTAAAAACCAATTGAATCAAGACTTCCTTTCGTGTTGTCTAATGTGATTTATTTTTCTTTTCAAGAGTTGAGTTTGCTACATAGCCAGGGCCGAGGGAGATGGAGAGAACAAGCGGCTGAACAAATTTGCGTTGTATAAGGGAAATCCAGCGAAAAACCCGATGGGAAAAAGAAGATGGATGAGTTGCCTTCAGGAGAAGAACAGCAACGTCGAACTTCTTCTTTAAAAAACACAAAAAAAGAGGGAAAAGGAGGAAGCAGGGATATATATATATATATGTCTGTGTGTCTGTCTGTCTGTGTGTGTTTGTGTATGTATATATTTATATTTTTAAAAAGCAAGTGCGGCAAAGCCTTAGAGAGAAATCCAAGCGGCAGTGGCGGTCGCGAGAGCTTCAAGGAAGGCACTTTTCAGCAACCTGCAAAAGAGAAAAAGAAATCATATCAGCTAAAGCCAAGGCAAGGACCCCACCCTTCAACCTCTCCCGACTCTCCCATGGAAGAAACAGAAGATTCATTTTAACAGGAAATCTGCAGATACTGACAGGGTGGTGTGGTGAAGTCAGCCATTGTAGGGTTTTTTTAAAAAAAAGAGAGAGAAAAAGGGCATTTCCCTACACGGCAAAGCTGCGCATGGTAAGAGGAAGCAGCCAATTACATTTACCGTTGCAGCAGAAAAATCTGGGCAGGCATCCAATAAGAAAGACTGTTTCATATTCATATAAATTCTGGCACATGTTCTCCCTCATTTTTTCTCCCTTGCTTTCTTTCCGTCCTTCCCTTTCCTCTCTTCCTCTCTCTGTCTTTCTCTCTCTCTCACACACACTCTCTCTCACTCGCATACTCCGTCTATCTTTCCGCGTGTCCACCGCCACACGGAAAACGCCTCCACCTCGCCTCACAACGGAAGGCCCCTCTGGTGCATCCACTATGTCTCTCCGGGTTGGCAACAAGAGCCCAACCGGCACGGGCTCCGTTTGAGCTGCATGCCACGGGGAGCTGTGGCACAGTGACGCTTTGTGCCACAAAAAAAATAATCCCTATGTCATGCGATTCCCCCCTTCCCACAAACATTCGCATGCGCAAAAGCCAGCCTAAGGAGGAACAGTGATTGTGTCTCTATTTCATTCTCTTTGCCCCCTGGGCATGAAAATCTGAAATACTGTGCTCTCCATGTAACTGGGAGCAGGTGGCGGGGTCACTGTGGCATCGTGCCATGCAAAGAATGCCGCCTGACATAAACTGGGTGGGGGAATATGTCCGTTCCATAGCTTTGGGAGACAAAGGCGAGAGAAAACCAGCGGCCCTTCTGTTCTTTTCGCTCAACTATAAATCCCTCTGGGGAAGGCAATGTTTGTGTACATGTGTGTCTGGTGGGTGAGACCTTTCTCTTTCTGTCTGTGGTGAACATTTAAGGGGGAGAGTCTAGATAGCTCCTGCATATACCGAGAACTGATGCAGAAGGAGTACTGCTGGTGATCCGTTGGCCAGTCATTTCAGTCTCGCCACATTAACCACTACATGCCCGTTGTGTGTTGCATTTAACCCCCTGCTTGCTCACCCAAAGCTGAGAGCAGGGAGAGCTTTTGAGTCAGAAAGAAAGGAAAAGCTCCTTCTCTGAGAGCTTTCTTTTCCTCCTCCTCTTCTCCTTTCCTGCAGAAATGAAAAGCAAAAACCGCACTGAAATTTAACCCTGCAGTGAAATGGAGGAGGAGGTTCTTTTCTTTTTTGAAAAAATTAACTCCTTCTTCACTTCTAGATTTTGCGTCAAGTCTCTTAAGGTGTTCATTTCCCCATTTCTAACATGTTGGTCCTATTCGACGAGTGAGTAAAGCTTGGCCCTAGGGCCCCATGTGGCCCTCCATCTCCCCAAGCTGCTGTGGAATGGAGAGGGAGGTCTTTTCTTTTGAGAAATTAACTCCTTCAGCTCTACATTTTTGCATCAAGTCTCTTAGGGTGCTTGCTTTTTCATTTCCAGCATTTTTGTTCTATTGAGCAGGCAGGCAATCTGTGGGCCTAGAAACTGGTTCAACACGTGCCCCCAAAGGGAATATTAAAGGCTGGTTAGGAATTCGACAATACCACAGGGCTAAAGAACTGAGAATCCATTTGCTCTCTAAAAGATACCACTGCCTGAGAAAAAAGCTAAAGATGCAAAATGAAAAGAGCAGCCTTACACATATGACAACGAGAAACGAACAAAAAGCTTGGTCAACTATAATGAGATTTTGCTGGATAGCTACCAAAAAGAGAAGCCATTTCTTACACACACACACACACACACACACACACACACACACACACTCCCCTTCTGTGAGCCAGCATGGTGTAGTGGTTTAACCATTGGACTAGGATTCTGGAGACCAGGGTTCGATTCCCACCTCAGCCATGGAAACCCACTGAGTGTACTTGGGCGTATCATACCCTCCGAGCCCCAGAAAACCCTGTGATAGGCTCACTTTAGGGTCACCATAAGTTGGAAACAACTTGAAGGCACACCACAATAACCCATATCTTCTCTTTCATGCTCAGATACTACTGGATAGTACCAGATGCAAAGAAGATACAATGGGTAGGGGACGAGAGGGTTGTGGTGACCTTTTGTGCGTTTCTAGAAAGCCTCTAGTTGTGGAGTTCTAGAAAGCTATTATGGACAGCTGGAGTCAAAAGGTTCATGGAAAGCTGCCTTATACAGTGGGGGTAGGGGCACAGGACTCTGGTGAAAGTGAAAAAACTGCAAATAAAAAACTATTCTTTCTTTACCTGAGGTCCTCCATCGCAACTTTATGGTCAACATCTGGCTGAGGTTGACCATAGAATTTCACTGGAGGACCTACAAAAACTTAGAGAAGTGTTTTCTCTAGGAATCTTTAGGTGCTAAAATGTGCAGAGTGACACTGGAAGACCTAGAGACTCCGAGAGAGAACATATTAATCAAATCCGTGAATAATCAAATCCAGAAAAGTCAAAGTTGAAAATGTGGAGGGCCAATTGTACATCTGGTGGAAACAAGAGAGAGGGCCTTCTTGGTGGCTGTTCTCAGACTTTGGAACTTGATGGATCATCTCGAATTTTGGAGCATGATGGTTGAGGGATTCTGAGAATTGTAGAAGATTTAAACACACACACACACACATGCATTGCCAGGAATTAAGGGTGCGGGAAGAGAACTTCCTCCACACCAACCCTCAATTCACGCAAAAATATTTCTGGCAAACCCCATTTGAATGTGGAGCACCTGGATTAGCTCCTTTCAATCCATGCCTCCAGAAAGAGAAGGTGTGGAACCAGCAGCTCAGAACAAAAGCGGAGGGCCAAGCCCCACAAACAAGTTCACACAGGCTATCGGATGGGTGGGGACATACGGAGGAATGCTCTTAGGAATCATGCCAGCCCAACCACAACTCCCCCCCCCCCCAAAAAAAGGACTGTGTGGCATTTATTCAGGAAGCAGAAAAACATTCCCCTGATCTGGAAAACCTGCCAATGGAAATAAAGTTGCTGTTACCTCTGGGACACCAGCCAGGTTATTATTAGCCTAAACTTGCCGCATTAATCGACAAAGAGAGATGCATCTCTTTTAGCCAGTATTTGGGGATCATGCGGCTGCCTGGATGTCACTGGGTTGCAACTTCCATCATCCCACATCACCAGCTATGCTGCCTAGGGCTGATGGGGAGTGCAGTGGAGTCCAACAATATCTAGAGAGCTGCAGGTTTCTCACCTTCACTTTAAAGGCTACCCCAAGTCTTCTTTATTTAAACCATTTTAGAAAGTAACCAAACTCTCTCTTTCAGCCATAACTTTCACTGAGTCAGCTATCATATCTTGTCCCGATCCTGGGACATCACAAACCCATTTTAGGTATTTAAACACCTGAACGTATTAGTTGGCTTACACAACATAGCACCCCTCTGCTTCCCAGAGATGGTTGGCAGCTCCCATGTCAGGGGGGCAGTGAATCCAGTCCAGGTTTTGGATAGATTTAATCCAATTGACAAAATGATTGACAAACTGAACTAGAAACTTTAAAATGAGCTAAACATTTTGGTTTCTGCCTTCTTTAGTTGCTAAAAATGAACATGAGCTGCATCCAAGATGGCTGCTTTTAGAATACTTTGTTTTCAGCATTCTTCAGTGGATGATGGTATCATCCTCTAGGCTGGGGCCACGTGGTGTTATGGTAAGGTTCCCTTATTTTTCAAAGCAAAATATTTACCGACTGAGAACCACCAATTGCTCTAGTGACTCTCACTTTACATATCCTTACTAGATAAACTGTGGTTTTAAAAAATCCACCCAGACAGAAATTTTAGGTCTTGCTGGGAAAAAAACCATGATAGCTTCATCTTAGGTTCACCATAAGTTACAAACGGCGTGAAGGCACACAACAACAATGGCAACCTTATGCTAATGTACGAATCCAGAAAGTCTCCATTTTGTTCCTGTTCTCATTAAAGCCAAGGGGTACAATGGGTGGCCCTGAAGCTACTTATAAAACAACATTTTGTGTGTGTGCAGAGAAATGCTTTTTCTGGGTGTTTCAAAGGTGTTTTTGTGCTCCAGATTTTCCCTGTAAAGGTGAATTGCCTCCCCTGCATTCTCAAGCAAGAGATGCAATTTTTCCATCAAAAGTACAACTAGAAAATTCCTTAAAACTCTCATGCAGAATGGCAGAAGGACACCGTCAAAGCTCTCCCGACAGATGGCCATCCTGCCTCTGCTTAAAAACCTCCAAAGAAAGAGCCACATCAAAATGCTTCCCTGTTTGGTTTCCACAGTTGCTGTTCAAGGGAGCAAGGATAAGCCCCAAAACCTCAAAGTCACACATTAAAAATAGTCCTGGCCAAGGGATGAGACTGCAAAAATGCAACCAGAGGTGAGGCAAGGACGGAGGAGGAATCCGCTGGTTAGGAACTGAAATCCTTCTTAGTTTCCCCGTAACTAATCCCCTTTTGGCCATCCAAGCACACACTTTGCAGAGGCTAAGAGAATCCGTCCATCACTGGGCACAACCATGGCACACCTGCAGTATCTGTGGCAGATCCAGGTCACAAAACATTGCAAAGCACAAGGGCTGTGGTGTCAGCCTTGAGGTCTCTGGGAAGCAGGGATATAAATCTTCATTAAGCTTCTTCTCCAAGGAAGCAATGAGGAAATTTTCGCAGTTTTCTTCCTGCTGCGAGAAAGTCTTTGCGAACCATGCAGCTTTGGAAAACTATTCGCAATTCGGGACTTTTCTTGCGCAAAATTCACACATGAGGAAATTTTCGCAGTTTTCTTCCTGCTGCGAGAAAGTCTTTGCGAACCATGCAGTTTTGGAAAACTATTCGCAATTCGGGACTTTTCCTGCGCAAAATTCACACATGGTGGTTCTGCACAGAAGATGGGGTTGGTCTTCACAAGAAACTGCATTTTCTGTGCAGACAATAATATTTCTATGAAAAAAAAATCATTTCCTTCACATAAAATGCATCTCCCTGCACAGAAAATGTTGTTTTATATGCAAATCAACCACGTATTTATTTTGCACAGAATAAGTCCCCATTGTATGCACAGGAAATATTTTATGCAATAGAAATATTATTGTGTCACAGCCTAAGATGACTAAAGGAAAGGAAAAAAAGTGCAGGTGTGGATTTGGACACAGGTAATGAAGTCATGGATGAGAGCTTTCCCTTCTCCTAAGTGGTTGGTCTTGACAAGGAATATTTGAAATACCAACTTGATAAGGGCCTCCGGGTTACAGTATTAGCAGCTGCATTTTAAAAGAATCTTGCCTTAATAAACTTGAGGTGGGGTACACGGCTGTCCTATTGTCTGGAGCAGCAGAAAACAGGCTCTCTCCATCTACTACTTGACAGCCCTTCAGATATTTCAAGATGGCTACATATCACCTGTCATTCATCTCTTCTTATAGACTTAATGTGAGCAACTCCATCAACCATCTCTAATGAGTCTTGACTTCCAGACCTTTAACCGTTTTGGTCTCCCTCCTCTGGACATGTTCCAGCTTGCAAATATCCTTCCTAAATTGTCTTCTCAGTGATGTCCCTCTCTTCCATCTGTGGAATGGTCCCCCCAAGACAGATCCACCAGGCACCTCACCAGTTGCATGTACACGCTAAACTATCATCCCGGATCTCCCTTTTACTGCAGGTGTTGAAATATTCTAACTAGCTCTCAACATCCTCTTAATAATTTATGTCCAATCTGCACTGCAGAAAGAATGCAATTTGACACATTCAGGTTCACATTTTGGATTTTGTTGCATTTTGCTGCATGGCCAACACCATGTAGCATATTCATACCCCTGAATATGTTTCCTGGATCTGAAGGTACCAAATTAAAACTTCTGATGAGCATTTAGAAGGAGAATTCAGGCATGCAAAGACAAGGAGCAAAGAGGACTGGTAAAGAAAAGACAGAGGCTCAATCTGCACTGCAGAACTAATGCAGTTTGACAACACTGTAACTGTCACAGCTCCATGCTATGGAGTTGGATTTGTAGTTTGTTGTAGCACCAGAACACTCTGAGAGTGAAGAATGAATAGTTTACAAAACTACAAATCCCAGGATTCCATAGGACAGAGCCATAGCAGTCCAAGCAGTGTCAAACTGCATTGTTTCTACAATGCAGATTAGACCTTAACCATTGAATTCTTCAACATCTTGGCTGTGTTTCACTTGCTTTCCTCATTTTCCCACACTCTTGGAAAATTCAAAGAATAAAAAAGGAGAAATGGGATTTACAATCAGCTCTTTGCTAGTCCGAACTTCCAAAACACGCAAAGACCAATAGGGTCAATGCTTTGTAAATACTTCAAAATGGCACCCATCCATTGGAAGGTGGACAGTAACTGTGTTAAAAGATGGCAGCTTCTTCTCTTCCTCTCTCCCAGTTGTGAGGAGGAAACCCCACCATCACATACCTGTTTGAAACCAAAGGAGCTCTTATATTAAAGCAAACATTCTGCAGGGCCGATTAGACGCTTGGAATATTTTCAGCATGAACATTTTGTACCAGGACACTCCTCTGCTCTGCTCTGCTCTCCTCTTCTTCCAACCTGAGCAAAGTTTATTTCCTTTAAGGGAGACTGTTGCATTGGCAGTCCAAGAGAAATCGGCTGTCTCACCACAAAAAGGCTGGTCCTTCCCTCCATACAACTGAGAAGTGTTCAGGAAATATTATTATTGTTGCCAAGGGGGTGTCAAAAGCACGACAGCAGGGCAAGAAGTCAACTCTAGTCTGGTGTGATTCAACTGCTGAGGATACACATCTTTGTAAATTTTGTTCTTGCAGGAAAGAATGAATAATTTTACCCCTTTTCCTCCTCGGTGTGAGGAAGTCGCTGAAAACTATGCAGTTTTTATAAGCTGTTCTTAGTT